TAAATATATATATATATATATATATATATATATATATATATAATTAAAATAAGATCTATACGAAACATACCCTGCAATTGGTGGATAAAGTATATAAGTATATCGATATGTATATGCACAATTCATGTAGTGTCATAATAGAATAAACGCCCGGAAGATTTTCCAGTAAACCTTACCTTAGTTGTATGCCAATCGGTCGATCAAGTAATAGACCCATCAGCACAAAAACTAGAACTAACTGTTAACGTATAAAATAATTTGCCTATAATCTTCCTTAAATAAAAATGACGTTTTTTTTTTTTTAAATAGCAGATATAATTATGGCAACTTATACAAATATATATATCATACGTACACGATGTTGGTGATTAAGACTATATATACAACACGAGCAAACTCTTTGACTAATGCTAGTGGATCATTTATAAGAATTAGGATGATAAATTCAGAATAAAATTTATCAACAATTAAAAAATATAATAGTTCCCCTTTCTGACTTTAATTTTTTACAAATATTACGATGAGCGCCAAAGACCGAAGCAAGTGATAATAACGTCAGCCCGCATTCCCCGATCATAAATGAATGAATCTGATACGCTCTGCCGAGATCACACCACTCTCCCGAAGTCCCATGGATTACAATATCCGATTCACATATGGCGACGGCTTTTTTTATACATAAGTACGTATGTACATTTTAAATAATGTTTTATGAATTGTACGACCAATGACAACAGAGGACATCAACAAACAACAAAAAAAATGCAAAACAACTTGCTCGGCTTTTATACAACATTATGTCTCATTAATCACAATACATAATATAATTCTATATACTTCTGATACACAATATATATCTTTATTTTAAATTTTACATTTATATCAAAGGGAAATTACCTTCCGTTCATCCTTTTCGCTTCTCTTTTAATTAATAACAATTTTATAATAAATAAAAGAGTTTCATGTACAGTATTTATAGTTATATGGTCTGCCACTCTCTAAGCACGTAGCATTAAATCGACCACCGGAACTTGTTTTCTCCTTGCTTATTAAGCGTCCGCACCGATCCATTTTAGGTGTGCTGCAGAGAGCGATTTTCCAGTCTTAAAAAAAAAAAAATACAAATACCCAGACATATATAGCTTTATAATTATAATTTTTATCCTTCATCTCTTCGAAAATCAATTTTTTAATCGAAGAGCCTCTTTTGCATAAACTTATATATTAATTACATACATTCCATTTGATGCTTGCAAAATTGTGACGATATCCTAGTTTTTCATCATTTTTTGATTAAAAGATCGAAAATATAAATTAATTCAAATAATTCTTTCGAGGAATTTTAAATTTGCATTCCCTAGTTTTGTTTTTTATTGTTTCCACTTGTTTTGCTGTATATATTAAGAAAACGTAATCATCCTCCGAATTCGGACCAATAATTGCTTTTTTTATTTAAAAAAAAAAAAATTGCAAGATAAACTCTGATAAACTCGTCTAGTCCCTTTTATCATTCATTTCTTTTACGACGACTATTTTGCTCTTTACGAAACACATTAACTTTTTCCGTATCCAAATTCATTGTCAAAGAGGTTGTGACAATCCAACTTCAAATTCTTCCTCTTTTCTTTTAACGCAAATAGTTTTTTTTATTTGCGTTTTAATTATTGCTCAACATAAAGAAATCCAAAAAAGTTGTTTCAAACAAAGGAGATGAGCATTGTTTGTAATTCTCCAAAATTCGAAGTATCAAACGATCAATCCTCGTATTTCAATATTCATATGCCTGGTTCGTTTATGCCTACACCTTCTGATACCTCGTCCGGTTATTTTGACATAAATCCAAATTCTTCCCCGGCTCAAACTCCTTACTTCGATGCTTTGAAACAATCTCCAACTCAAACCCCTTTCTACGATACTCAAACCCCTTTTTACGATACCCAAACTCCTTTTTATGAGTGCGAAACTCCATTTTTTGAGCAACTACAAAATCAACATGGCCTCAATGGTATTAATCCTTCCACAAATAATTCCGATGCCAAATTCGCTGTAATGACTCCTGGATATCCTTCGATCAGGAAACCTATTTCCTTTCAAGATGGCTTGGCCAGGGCAACAAATAATACTTTTGTGCCCAAATTACCTCCTATACGTCGACAAACAACTCTTATTAGTCCTTCTAACAAGAAACCTATTTCGTTACCAGCTGGATTAGCTTTCACTCCTGTCTCTTCTTCTTTAGAAGAGTTTTCCATAGATCGTGTTGTCGATATGATAAATCTCAAACTATCAGCTGATACTCCTGCTTCTAAAATTATTTTATTACTTGATCTAAGGCCATTTAATTTATTCACGACAGAACGGATCAAAACTTCTATAAATATTTGCATTCCTACAACATTATTGAGAAGATGTTCGTTTACTGCAGACAAAGTTATAGAAACTTTAGTCTGCGATTCTGATCGTGAAATTTTTAAGGATTGGACAAGTTATGAAAATATCGTATTATATGATAATGATTCTACTTCTTTATCGGATGCCTGCCCTGTATTTCATTTATGTAAGAAATTCCAAACTTCAAATATAAAGGCAAAAATTGGTTTTCTAAAAGGTATGTTATAAAACTTTGTTATTTTTTAATTTATTGTTGTTATTTGTGTTTATTCTATTATTTTAATCATTCTAATTAATTTATTCTAATTATTCTATTATTTTAATCATTCTAATTAATTTATTCTAATTTTTCTAATTATTTTAATTATTATAACCATTCTAATTACCATTATAATTATTCTAACCATTATAATTATTCTAATTATTTTAACCATTATAATTATTCTAATTATTTTAACCATTATAATTATTCTAATTATTTTAACCATTATAATTGTTCTAATTATTTTAACCATTATAATTGTTCTAATTATTTTAACCATTATAATTATTCTAATTATTTCAACCATTATAATTATTCTAATTATTTCAACCATTCTAATTATTCTAATCATCCTGACCTTTCTAATTATTCTGACCATTCTAATTATTCTAATTATTCTGATCATTCTAATTATTCTAATAATTTTAATTACAATTCTCCCTTTGCCTTTTTTTTTTTCTTCTTTAAAAAAAAAAATGTGTATATATTTTTTAGGTGGCTTCATGGCCTTTGCTGAAAAACACGGGGATTTATGCGAAAAGACTATTATTAAGAATGGAACACTTCCTTCTTCTGCTAAACTTCCTCGTTGGCGTTCTTCGATAAATCATAAACCTGGTCCTTTTACTTGTCCAACACCTATTGTTGAAGTTGCTGGTGTTAATCCTTTCTTCGCAAATATTCGACAAAATCTTGAATTGAGTTGTGGAATTACGGAGACCATTCCTATTCGCGTTCCAGATAATATTGATCATTCGAAATTACCTGGCTTTATACGTGATGTCATCGGTGAAAATGGTGAAACTAAATTGGCCGAAGCTTTTCATGTAACTACACTTTAAAATATTTCTATACTTTTTTTAAAAAAATATTAAAATTTATTTTTCTTAATTTCTTTATAGGAAATTGAGCGTGCTGAACAAAGGAGATTACAATCTCTTATGCTTCTTAATGGAAATCAGTCAACTCCCGATTGTCCTTTTAGCATATCTGCTGGTATAGAAAAAGGTTCAAAGAACCGTTATAATAATATTTGGCCTTATGATCATGCTCGTGTAAAAATTCATGAATGCAATGAGGGTGATTGTGATTATGTTAATGCGAGCTTTGTTCAAGCTGCTGGATGTAATAAACGTTATATCGCTACACAAGGTCCTTTACCTGCCACTTTTAATGACTTTTGGAAAGTGGTTTGGGAACAAAATTCTCGCATTATTGTGATGTTGACGAAAGAACGGGAAGCCGGAAGGGTATGCATTAATTATTAATCTTATCCTTAGAGCTTTATTTATTCCTTTTTTAACAATAATATATATATATATTTAAAATAGGTTCTTTGTCATAATTATTGGTCTGAAAATGGGACTCCATGTAAATTCGGTTCTCTTGAACTTACTTTTATATCAGAAACTTCTCCTATTAGTAACTCGGAGGGTTCAATAGATAGCATCGTAATTCGTAAATTCAGCCTAGTTCATAAAAATCACCCTGAAATTCCGGCTCGTGAAATAACTCAATTGCATTTTCTTGGCTGGCCAGATTTCGGTATTCCTGATTCGCCATCCCATATCCTCAACTTGATAGAATCTGCTAACACTGCTCAACATAGTGCTTCTATGCAATGTGATTCTTCAAAAGAGATTGGTCCTATGATTGTACATTGTTCTGCTGGATGTGGTCGTACTGGTGCTTTCTGTACTATTGACTCTGTTCTAACTATGCTTAATAACGGTAATTTGGATACAAATAAGGATATCGTTCAGGCCACTATTTCCCAATTTCGCGAACAACGGTTGAGCATGGTACAAACTCTTAGACAGTTTGTATTTTGTTATGAGGCTGTTTTATTTAAAGTTGCTGGTGCAATTTAATACAGGAGTCATTATATGAACATAGAAAATTATGGAAGAATTTCAAAAAGGATCTCGACGTAATAATTATAATTAATCACTAAGATTTTATTTGTAAAATATGTTTATACTTTGCGCTTTAGAAATTGCGCTTACCTAACAGTGTAAAAAAAAAAAAAAAAAAAAAAAAAAAAAAAACAACAAAAAACAAAAAAGAATTTGTGTGAATAACTAGCTAATATGAGGTGAATACTAAAAAGAAAATTTCGAATCTTCCGTGTCTTCCTCTAATAGCTATAATGTTTACACCAAAAATAAGAAAAGTTGAAGCTTTTCTTCCCCTTATTTATCCCCTTTCTATGTATTATATTTTTTTCTCTCAAAAAAAAAAAAAAAAAAAAAAAGAAAAAATATGAACGAACGAAATTCTCCCCATTTATTATAAAAAATTTCCATCATATTACCTACGATTTTTTCTTTATGTAATTTAGTTTTAAATATTATCTAAGTTTAAACATAAAAAAAATTTTTTTTATTTCGTTTTCGTGTTTTCATATCGTTTTCGTTTCACAGATTCAAATTTCGTTTCACTCTTCATATTTTTTTTCTTCCCTTTTTTCTATTATAAATACGTAATAAATAAATAAAATATAAAGCAAAAGACATTTTAAAAATTATTTCAATCCAAAAAAAAAATTTGAAAAATTTTTTTTTTACTGTATCAACAATATTTAGTACGCGTCACGTCACTCTGGTTAAAAAATTGTCTGATATATATCTAGATGCCGGTTTAATTTTCATGCGTATTATATATAGGTTTAAAATTTTTAAAAATTTCATTATAGTTAGATAACCAGAGTGTATATTAAAAAATACACTTGATGTTATCTAAACGCATAATGTCTGAAGTATAAACTTTTTCGAATTTTAAATTAATTTTATGATATATATTAATTATCTTTTTGGGGGGTTTTTTTTTTTTTCCGGTATTAAGGTGACCTCTTTGGCCGGGGAACGTTTTATTAGATAGTTATGTTTTTCAATTAC